TCAAATGCCCTCCTATTTTGTCTTAAGTAATCATTATAGTGGCTAGAAGTCTAATTTCGACCTTTTTTTACAAACAATCGATCTTTGAATATTAATCTAAGCTATCCTAGGGATATTTTTTAGCCCAATCTTATCCTTAACTTAATTTTAGTATCAACTATGCTAATTATTTACTTCTTCAAACCTGATTTTATCAATTTATGGTCTTTTTAAAGTAATAAAAGAATTTCTATAGCCAAGAAGGTGAAATTACTAACCAACCTTTAATCTACTAACTATTAGACAAGAAAACAAACTAAGAGGTTTTTATAAAAACCATGTTTAAATATCTTGAATTATTATTGAATCAAGATGATTAGATATTAAATAGAAATTTATTTTTGATTATATTTTTTACTATATAGGAGTGAAGGAAGAGAAGATGTGAAGAAGATATCATTAGTACAATGAAGAACACAAGAATAGTTAGTAGGACAAGTAGCAAAAGTAGAGAAGGAAGAAGAAACAAATAATTTTTCTTTTACTTTCTTGAAAATTGAATGTAAATAGAAATTATCCTAATGTTAATAAAATAATTTTTAATCAAAAGACCTTAGACAATTAGATTAAAAATATTCTTTTTATGGTATAAATAAATAGTCTATTTAATAGCAATGAGGATGAAGATAAAAATAAATAAATAAGAAATATAAAATATTAATAAAAAAAAAATAATACTATCTCTTATACAAAAAAGTTACTAAAAAGATTCTTTTTATATTCACAATTATGCATGTCTTCAAATTATGTGGCTTTTGTACTACTAGACTATTATTACATTACAATGATTGAAGCTTTGATTAATAGAAGGCACTCTAATGAATAGTGAGGCACTAACACCTTGTCAATAGCATATAATATCAAATAGGGGATGACATATGTATACAACAATCATCTAAATTGAAGTGATTGGGTAGCAAGAACAATCTCCTTTAAAGATGGTAGATACAAGGTGACTCTTCATACCTCCACATCAAGTGAAAAGAAAAGACAATCTGTAATCAAAGACTTATTCATAGGAACAACTTTTATAAAAAAAAATATAGCATAAGAAATTGATATATATGGTGGTTCCAAATCTTGCATCAATAATAGGAAAGACAATTGAAGGAATAGAAAGAGAAAATTAATTCATATGAGAGTACTAAGATGTATTTTCAACCGACCTACCTAATGGTGTGCTTTCTAATAAAGGTGCCTTCTTTCAAATAGAACTATTGCTTGGAGCCAAACCAATAGGTCAATAAATTTATTGCCTATCACTAAAAGAACTTGAAGAATTACAGAAGACAGTAAATGAACTCTTGGAAAAAGGCTTTATTTTAGAAAGCACATCACCATGGAAAGCACATGTACTCTTTGGACCCAAGAAGGATGGTGGACTTCATCTTTGCATTGACTATTGAGGCTTCAATAAGCAAACTATTAAAAATACATATTCACTTTTATGCATAGATGATCATTTTGACCAACTTCAAGGTGTGACCATCTTTAGTAAATTGGATCTTTGAAAGGGCTATTGAAAAATACCTATTGGAAGAATGGATGTAGAAAAGATGGCATTTTTTATGCACTATGAACATTTCAAATGGCTGGTTTTACCTGTTGGCTTGATCAATGTTCTAGTCTCTTTCATGGATTATATGAATAGATTGTTTTAAGACCTTTTGTATAAGTATATAGTCATCTTCATTGATAATATCCTCATATATAGTAAAACTTCTAAAGAGCATGAGCAACATCTATGAGATATACTGTACCAACTACAAGTTAGTTTTTTTTATTATAAGTAATCAAAATGTGAACTTTGGAAGTTAAAAGTCACCTTTTTTGGACATATAGTGTCTTTTGAAGGTATTCTTAAGGAGCAAGATAAAGTAAAAGTAGTAGAGGATTGGCCAATCTTCATAGATACTTCTAAAGTCTATTCATTTTTAGGCCTTGCCAGATATTATCCCCATTTTGTTTGGCGATTTGTACACATTGCTCCCTCATTGATAAACCTATTGAAAAAAGGTGCCCAATTTCAATGGAAACTAGAGCAACAAAGCATCTTTGATAAATTGAAGCAAGCACTCATTACAACTCCAATATTACGACCGTATGATCCTAACTTTCTTTATATGCTTGACATTGATGATTTCGACTTTGCTATTAGAGCATTCCTTCAACAAGACTTTGGTAGGGGCCTTCAACTTGTGGCATATGAATCATACAAGCTCAGAAGGACAAAGTGCAATTACTTTCTATGTGATCGGGAACAATTAGCAATTGTATATTATATACCACAAAGATGTGATTATAGTATTTGTTGAAGAAGCTAGTGGTTGTTTGGATTGATCATCAATCCTTACTACACAATTTGCATCTGAAAAATATGAAATCATGACATCATTGTTGAAAAGAATAGTTGTAGTTTTTTCAAATCTAGCTTGAATATGAGTAAAGATGACAACATACTATACTAGACAACTTATTGTAGAGACTAAACTTGAATGACAAATCAAGAGACAAGACAGAATTTGCTATGATTAGTAGTGTCATTTCAAATCTAACTAAAGATGTAAAATGGAAGTAAGCTACATATTGGGATGCATATTTCAAGATGGTTAGTGATTAGCTGAAGGTGGATAATATATAATATCAAGATTATAGTCTTAATGATGGCTTGATCTATTTTAAGAAGCAGATTTATGTACTCAACAATGCTATACTTTAAATGTATATATTTCAAGAGAGACATGACATCCCAATATCTGAACATCTAAAAGAAGAAAAGACTCTAGAACGAATCTCAAGGATATATTTTTTGGTAAGTTTGGATTGTGATGTTCGAACCTTTGTACACTCTTGTGAGTCATGTCAATGTAATAAAGTATGCAACGTTGCATTTCTTGAACTATTGCAACCAATTTTGCTACCTATGCTATATTGGAAGTATGTGACTATGGATCTCACTATGTGTTTGCTGTAGACACATCATAATCATACCACAGTTGCCATCTTTGTAGATCCATTCTTGAAGCACTTTCACTTGGCCACAATTTGCTCGGATATTGATGCCCTAGTGCTTGCACAAGTCTTATTTGATAATATCTTTTATTACTATGGATTACTTTATATCATCATTTCAGATCAAGATTCATGCTTCATGAGAAGTTTTAGGCAAGTCTTATTCAAGCTACTAGACACACGACTTGCCATATTTACAATCTTTCATTCCTAAATAGATGGATAAATAGAGCATATAAATCAAACTTTAGAGGATATGTTATAGATATTTGTGGTGGTTCATTATAATAATTAGAATGAATACTTGATGTTCTTAGAATTTACTTACAATGATAGTATTCAAACAAGTATCAATCATTTACTATTTTTCTTATCTGATTATACTAGCAATTCTCTATCATCCCATCGACACTAACAACCTAATAATGGAGGAATTAAAATAGCTTATAATAGCCTTACAAGAGATATGGCACTATCTCTTTACCGCACAAAATTAATAGAAGTAGTATGCGGATATAATAGAGTTCACTATAAAACCTTTTAGAAAAGGCTTAGGGCAGTTATTTAAATAAGGCTCACTATGGAACCTTCTAAAAAGAATTTAAGGCGGCTATTTAAGTAGGATCCACCACCTAAGAATATTCTAGAAAATCTAGGGTGGTAGAACAAAGTATAAATAGGACTGGTCAGGGCCTTTTGAGACCTTTAGTCAAGTATGGCTTTAGATCCTTTCTCTTAATACCATTGGATTTTATATCTTTATTTTTTGGTTCTGTTCTATCTTAATTTCGGTTGCTCAGTTTTGTCTTCTATGTCTCATTCTGTTTAGTTCAATTCAATTTTTTTGTGGTTCAATTTGTCCTACCTTGTGATGAGGTTTTATGTTGCTGTGGAATAGAAAGGTCTTCGATACTTGAAATAGACCGATTCTATTTTATAAAATCCTTACATGGCATCTTAGCCTAATGACTTAAAATGTAATAATGGATATTACTAAAGAATGAGAAGATGCTGAATAAGAAGATTACATAGGCAATAGATTGATATAGATAGATTATTTTGCTTATTGATTTTTTTTAGGCCTATCAAGTATTCTATAATTTTGTATGGAAAAAAACTATTGCAAGCATTTATGGTTGAAGGATAGGCAACAATTGAATAGTCATGTTTGCCATATCTTTATCATAATCAAAGAAATCTATGTGCAAATTTGTACCAAAATTTGGTGGATACAATCATAATTCATTATTGTATTGGGATTGGCAAAAAAAGGTGTAAATAAAATAATCTAAGACGTATGATCTTACTTCCATCATCACATGTTACAAATGCAAAACATATGGTAGAAATACTTTAAGATTCTATAGCAATTACTAGGTTTTATGAGCATCCTAATATCTTTATGACAATGATAACATGTAGTGTATTTGTTTATTTGTTCAATACAGGTAAATAATGTCTATAATATCCTGTATAACTGGGCATGAACAAAATGAATAAAAAAATTCCTCAAAACATAAGAAATGAAAATTTAATTTCTGAATATCAAACAAAAACTTATACCGGGCTAATGCTGTGGACTCGGAATCAACACCGACAAGTCAGGGTCTTAGAGTGACGTGGACCACGATGGCGGGAACCAGGAAGAACCCGGATGAATGTGGGAGGGCGTTATCGAGGAAATGAAGAGTGATAGATGAAGTAAATCATTCATTCACAAGGAGAGCAGCGGTGCTCGTACTGGTAGGGTTCGGAGCACGACACCGTGCGAGGATCGACAACGAAGTCGCCAAACTATTCCACAATTATACTTTAGTATGATCCAACCGAAGGACCCACCTTCAACTGACCATTGACACGAGCCTAGAGTCAATGGTTTCTCTAAGAATCAAAATATTTATAAGTCTAAATCTGTCTCAGAGTCACTGGGCTTGCGAGGAAATGAGGCTCGCGGCACCAACGGAAGGGGACAAGATTATAAACATCTGTTCTCGAGATAATCAATTAAGCCACGAGGGATACGCGGAACGGTATTTCGATCGCCGATTGATTGTCGTCGGAGTAATCCGCACATAAACCCTTGGTTTCAGTGGTGTCTCGTTGGGGAGAGCCCTGTTGGCGGGTTGTTGTCGAAGCTCCAGCTGTGGCAATGGCGGCATCGTTCGCGCTCTGCGCTTCGCGACCTATGTTGGTCTCGTCGCACCTGGGCACGCCAATGAGACCAACTGGGCGTGTTGAGTCTGTGGGTGCATTGGGTTCGCAATCGTCATTTTCCCAATTGTCCCGTTTGTCGCCCTGCAAGTAAGTTGCTAAATTGCAGACTATCGTGATTGTCCAGCTTTGTATGATCGTTTATCAGGATAGCGCGAGTTGTTGGTGAAGTAGAAGACGTGAGTATGCCGGTGACGTGGAGTTCTTCTTTTGGCCTTGTGTGTGTTTCCTTGTGATGCTCCTCGATCCTCCATGTAATTGATTGTGACATTGTGATCCCTATTGGGTCGTCACCGGATACTATTTCTTGGATCTGCAGGAACGAGTTGTCACCAATTGGCATCGCCTTTGAGTTTCGTTGTTAGTTTTGGGATTTGCGAATGGAGGCGAATGTTGGGTTTGTCGCGTCCTTTCCAAATTGAGTGGTCTGCATCGCTTGTTGTAGTGTGTCTAAGACTCGATGACTTATCTTAGGCATATTTAGTCGTGTGTTTCAAGTCAAAGTAATCTGGCGTGCTGCAGGTTGCAATGGCAGAGCATTGGCACTGATCAAATGCAGGGGAGGAAGTACAGTATGCTGATAGCTGGCTGCGCTGCTTCACCTAATGACACGATCAATGCTCAGCAAAGCACTTTGAACAACAGGTTTCCATTACAGGATGTACTGGAAGCGCAGCAGTTCGACAGGAAACTTCTGAACTCTATCTTTGAGGTGGCAAGGGAAATGGAAGACATAGAGAGGGATGCTGCTGGATCGGAGCTGCTGAAGGGATTCTTAATGGCTACCCTGTTTTACGAACCTTCCACTCGTACTAGGCTTTCGTTCGAATCCGCTATGAAGAGGCTGGGTGGAGAAGTTTTGACGACTGAAAATGCTCGTGAATTTTCTTCAGCTGCCAAGGGCGAGACCCTGGAAGGTTAGGGTTTTCTTTTCACTATTTTGTGTACATTGAATGAATAACAGCCTCATTTGTGTGTTTGATGATACTTTTAATTTCGGTAATTAAACCTACTAATAGATAGTGAGTAGAGTTGTATTTACAAATGGCGTAATTGGAAAGAATATTGTGTGGTCCAATGGATCTTCACCCGATGAGTGATCTGTCTACAGATACCATTAGAACAGTCGAGGGCTATTCGGATATTATTGTGCTCAGGCACTTCGAGAGTGGGGCAGCCAAGAAGGCTGCCAATACAGCGAACATTCCTATCATAAATGCAGGAGATGGTCCTGGTCAGCATCCTACACAGGTCTGTCCTTCCATTCCACTAACTCATTTTCTGAAATGAACGTGATTTATTCCGCTATTTCGAACAGTGATAATGTCATGCACACATGGGAGGTGAGAAAGAATTCTTCGGTGGCTATCATTTAAGCTTTTAGAAGATATGTGCACATGGTCAAGGTCTGATGGGTCCTACTCATTCAGTCGTAAGGACCAAGTGATTGATCTTTGTTTAGTCTAATTTTGGAAAGGAGGGCGAGGAACACTATTTAAATCTAGTCCATGATTGTTTGTGGCGAAGGGCTAACAGTCGGTTGATCCTGATAGTTTTTACGAACTTCTAATGCTGTTTTCTGCTCCTGTGAGTGTTAGTTCAGACCATGCTTGTACATTCTAGCATCTGCGTTTATGGTCAAGCTCGTATATGTCAGAATTTACTGTCACTTTACTAATAAAGGACTGTAATGGATGGCAAACTCTTCGTCTGCAGGCGCTGCTCGACATGTATACAATAAAACGAGAGATTGGCCATCTGGATAACATAAGAGTGGGGTTGGTGGGTGATTTAGCTAATGGGCGAACTGTACGATCATTGGCTTATCTGCTTGCGAAGTACGATGGAGTCAAAATTTACTTTGTTGCTCCTGATGTGGTCAAGATGAAGGTACTGTCATGGAGCCACATCTAACTTTTTGCGTTTGTAGGGAAGCCTCTTATCTTGTCAACCGCTGCCACTCTATTTGGATATTGGGATTCAGGCTAGTAGTCTTTAGAAGGAATGAAAGCTAGAATAAGCTGGAATGCCTCTTCTTTTGCTAATGGCTTCTTCGCTAACATTTGTGTTCATGATAAATTTATTCAAGGATGTAATTTAGTGAGAGACGGTTTTTGAACAGGATGATATCAAGGACCACCTGACTGATTCAGGAGTCGATTGGGAAGAATCCACTGACCTGATGGAAGTGGCATCAAAGTGTGATGTGATATACCAAACTCGTATCCAACGTGAGAGGTTTGGTGACCGCATTGACTTGTACAATGCGGCTCGTGGAAAGTATATTGTGGATACCAAGGTTATGAATGTGTTACCCAAGCATGCGGTGGTTCTCCATCCTCTACCACGTCTCGATGAGGTAAGTGCATGACGGTCTACGATGTACTTTCTTTGGACATTTGTGAGGAAAAGGGGTAGTCTATGACGTCCTTTGCTTTTATCTTTTCATGGCCCCGTGCTGGAAAAAGACATCGTTTAGAGCTTGAAGTCACTATCCTCCTTCAACGACAAAAACTTGGTGGATAACTTGGTCTCATCTGTCTGCAGATAACTGTGGAAGTGGACAGTGATCCCCGAGCTGCTTACTTCCGTCAAGCTAAGAATGGTCTGCACATTCGGATGGCCTTACTCAAGCTGCTTCTTCTTGGCTACTAAGGGAGAAGCTCATGTAGCAATTTTGGTGCACAGGATTAGGCTGCTGAGTGTTGCGCATAGGATTGAGAGTAGTGAACAGGGTTTCGTGAGGAGGTCACATTGAATATAAATTCAATCGGAGAAGGATTTTCTGTAAACTGACAAAAGCAACCTAGTGCAAAAGTTCCTACGAATAATTTTTTTGTTATGTTCTGACTCCAGAACTTTCTGAAATTGTACATAGAGAGCTGCCTTTCATTCAATGTCGCAAACAACTGGGCACCTCCTAGAAATTGGCGGCTTTGCTAAGTCACTATTGAATCAAATCCTGGCTTCTTTCATGATTGGAATAATGAGTAATTTAGCAGGTTGTTGGGTGCATAATGCTGTGCTTTGGCTTTTTAAAATATGAAACTGATATATTCATATATAACTGATAAACTTATATTTTTATATATTCTATCGTTTGTTCATTCTTATCAACTTTTCAAGATTGAAGTGCTTCTGAAAGAGTGAACAATAACAATTGAAGAACTATCACAGTTGATTAACCTCCACATGACAATTCATTCAAAAGAATATTTATTATGTGTTTTAAAACAACATTATAAAAAATATGGTCATAAGTAACTTTAAAAACTTTAAAACTTTGAAATATTTTTTTCAATATTAAATTCTTTTATCAACTTTTTTTAGTTTAATGAACAAATAATAATAAAATAATTTATTTATTCTAAATTAAAGAAAAAAGAAATCTTATCATATATAACAAAGAATCTATATAAGGAAATGTTACTCCTATCTATTTATATGGATTACTATTCCAAGGATAGCTATAAAATAAGTTTGAAGGATTATGTGATTACTATGGTTAATAAATCATATTATAATAAAAATACCAATATAAATTTATAAAATACTATGATTGTAGAATTATGAATTTTTTAAGGATTTATATGATTATATCTACCATATTTGATTGGTTGTAAAATTAATCAAGCCACTTAAATTCTAATAAATAATAAATACTTTATTTTAATAGATTTAATATTCTCAAATAGATTTCTTTATCAAAGAAATTGTATACATGTTATATGGTTTATATGATTCTTTTTTTAAGAATCATCAATAAATCTATGTTCAAATCCAAATCTTTAAAATATTTGTTGGTTTTTAATAGTGGCTATTTTTAATAAGAGTCTTAAGTAGTAGTTTTTATTCTAATAATTTTACATTAAATAATTGAAAAATGTTTCTTCAAGCTTTAAGTCTTTAATGAATAATTGTCATGGATATACAACTGAAGAAGGTTCCTAAAGGTTCCAGTAGATTCTAAGAAAGTTCTAGAATGTCAAAGGAGATCCTAGAAGCTTCTAGGAGGCTTTAGATGATTTAGGAAGTTGCCGAAGAAGGATCTTTGGCTTCCTTTGTTTCCAAGCTTCATAGAAACTTTTCAAGAAGCTTCCTAAGACCTAGTATATACATGTGTCAAGGTTGAAGAGATCCTCAGTCTCAACAATTCACTTCTTATAGTTTAATCAGGACTTTCTTGCCTTATATCCAGTTGTTGTTCTAATGTCAAGCTAATTCCATTTCTTGGCCTTAAATCCTTATCTTGTATATGGTCCCTAACAATTTATCGAGACTACCATAAAATAATATTAGAAGCTTGGTCTTTTTTGATAGAGAGTGGATTACCTCTCTTCTTGGAAGTACTAAAGCATTCTAGAAGTTGCAGATTATCCTCCTTTAAATTAATATATATATATATATATATATATATACTTTTTAATATTTTTTTGATTTTTTTGGTTTTTTTTTTTTTTTTTTTTTTTTTTTGTATACCATAGATCAGGTTGTTTTTCTTTGAGGGTGTGTGTTTCTCTAATTTTCCATAGCAGAAGGTAGAAAAGTCAATATGATAGACTCTAAAGAGATCAAATTAGATTCTATTATTAATGTTCTTGAAGCATTGAGGATCAGGACAGAGACTTTGTCAAAGCAGAGTGAAGAACTATATATAAACATACATAATAGTCAAGGAGCCAGAGCGCCTCAATCACTATATCAAATTATAATAGAAGTTCTAAATTCTCAAATGACTATGTCTGCTTCACATATGGGAGGTGTATCCACTCAAGGCAATGATCTGATAACAATAACAAGAAAAGAACCAAGGATCAGCCTCCCAAAAAAATTTGATGGCACTCGCTCAAAAATTTTGTGGCTTTGTAAACCAAGTACGACTAATCACCTTACTTCAATCTCAGTGATATTCTACTAAAGCATCTCGTGTTGATTTGGTTGGAACCTTGCTATCAGGTCAAGCTTTATCTTGGTTTGCTCCATTATTTGAAAAGTATTCTCCTATATTGCACAATTTTGAAGCATTTTTGGCAGTATTTGTGGAAATATTTGATCAACATGATAAGGTTCATTTTTCAATAACTGAAATTCGAAGCCTTGGTCAAAAAATACATTCTGCATCAATATATGCTTCAGATTTCTGACAATTAGTATATAATATAAATTGGGGAGAAGATGCATTGATGAGCCAATTTCATTGGGAATTAAGAGATGATATCAAGGACTTATTATTGTCTATTCCAGATCCTCTAACTTTCAATGAAGCTATTAGTCAAATTATAAAGTACAATAATCATTTATTTCAATAATGACAAGATAAACGTTCTTCAATTATGCCATATGTATACACCAATTATTCTGCAGCTTCTTCACTATCCAATTCTAATGAGGACTTGGAAGGAGAAGATATGCAGATTGATGTAGTTTACTTCAAACTTCTTTTTGAGCAAGAAAAAAAAATGTCAAAAGAAACTTGACCTATGCTTATATTATGGAAAATCTAGCCATAAGATTAATAATTGTTTAGAGAAACGCCAGTGTATATATCCAATGAAGACTGCAGCAACATCATTAAAAGCATTGTAGGAAAACAAGGGCGTCCAATCACAGTAAGGACTGTGCGGCTAGATTCTTCACTATCACAAATCAAAAAAGCTCTTATATTCTCTGCTAGCCTTTTCCTTTGTTTTACTATAACTGTATAGTTAAGAGTCACAAAACTAAAGTGTCATGCATTACTTGACTTGGAAGCCTCTATATATTTTATTGATAAAGAATTTTCTAGATTATACAAAATGTGTATGGTCAAAAAATCCAAAGTTGTATATGTAGAATAATTGGTCGACCTTTATCCTCTTAAAATGTCACTCATGAAACAATTCTATTAGAAATAATCTTTGACAACCGTAGCAGCCAAGTAATATTCAACATCATTAGATCACTATTAAGTCCAATCATTTTAGGACTCTTATGGCTTGAAAAATACAATCCACAGATAGATTGAAATAGTATATTTCATGCGCCTCAAGTCAATTTTTTTGGATATACTATTTCCAACAAAGGCTTTTTTATGAATCTAAAGAAGGTATAAGCAATCATCAATTAGACAAAGCCAAAAACTATACGTGATTTTTAATGCTTTCTTGGATTTGTAAACTTCTATAGGATTTATGTCAAAAATTACTCTAAGATTGCTCTTCTACTTACGTGATTGACATATAAGGACAAGTTCAACTAAGACATCAAATCAAAGAAAGCTTTTCAAAGCTTAAAAAATGCTTTTACAACAACTCCAAATTTGATACATCCAAATTTCAACAAGCCCTATTTTATGGAGATCCATGCCTCAGATTTTGCATTGGGAGCAACCTTGTTGTAATATAAAGAAGATGAAAAACTTCATTCAATTGCATTCTATTCTAAAAAATTCTCAATAGTGGAAATTAACTACAAAATCCTTAATAAAGAGCTACTTATTATCGTAGATTCTTTCCAAAAATGGCACCACTTTTTTGAAGGTGCCTCTCATTACGTGATTGTATATATAGATCACAAGAATTTTAAATACTTCATGTCAGTCCAAGTCTTGAACCATTGCCAAGTGCATTGGGATATATCTTTATCATGATTTAACTTTTGTATCATATATCGATCCAAGAGCCAACAAGGATTATTAGATACATTATCAAGGCATTCATATCTTGAACCAAAAAAAGGTGAGGTAGCATATGATCAATAACAAGTAACCTTATTAAAACTTGAATAATTTCATCTTCGAGCAACTAATGTATTAATGCCTATGGATTTATCATTTCTTGATCAGGTTTATAAAGCTTCAAATACAGACCATCTTATTCTTAATATCAAGCATCTTGTCAACAACCTTCTTGAAGAGTCTTCTAAATTGAAGTATGAAGACAACCTCTTATTCTTTGAAGAATGTTTGTTCAATCTTGAAGGGCCAACTTGCTTGTACGTTCTTCAAAGACGCCATGAATTCCTTGTAGTCGGATATTTCAGATTCTATAAGACTTTGAAACTTTTTTCTAGAGATTTTTTGTGGCCTAAAATATCAAAAGACGTTAAGGAATTCGTACTATCATGTGATACTTTTTCAAGGTCAAAGAACCCTCGACATTAGCCATATTAACTTTTTCAACTCTTTTCTATTTTAAGACAACTATGGCCATTTATTTTTATGGATTTCATTACAAATCTCCCACCATCAAACTCATTTGATACTATCTTTGTAGTTGTTGATCAATTGACCAAGATGACATATTTTATACCTTACGAGAAGTTAATTATTTGTGAAGAGATAGCAAGACTCTTTATTGACAATGTCTATTGTTACTACGGGTTGGCAAACGATATTGTGTCAGATTGTAGGCCACAATTTGTATCAAGGTTTTGAAAGGCATTCTTCAAGATTCTTAAGGTTGACATCAATCTTTCTTCTACCTTCTACCTTCAAATTAATGGCCAAATGGAGTATGTCAATCAAATTCTTAAGCAATATTTGAGGTGTTCCATCAAGTATCAAGAAGACGATTGGACTTCCTACTTGTTGTTGGTGAAGTTTACATATAACAACACAATCCATGCATCTATGTAACAAATAACATTCTATTCAAACTATGATCATCATCCAAAGTTGGATATAATAGAGTCTTCAAAGTTAGTAAATCTAGTAGTAGAGGAGTTTGCTACGAAAATCGCCAAACTTTAAGTAACCATTAAGATACACCTAAAAAAGGCTCAATAATGTTATAAGCTAGTAGTAGATGAATTGAGGAAGGAACATCCTCCATTTCAAGTTGGTGACAAAGTGTGGCTTCTTCAATACAATATAAAAACCAACACACTATGTAATAAGTTGGACTATCAAAAATTGGAACCAAATGTAATTCAAAAAAAAATTAATTATATAACTTATCACTTGGCATTACCTTCATCCATGAAGATTCATCTAGTT